TTCGGATGGGCAAAAGTTTCAAAGGAAATCAGCGTGGGAACTTCCCCATAGCAGACAGAAGAGACAACCTAGGATTACATGGGAACGTTAGGGGATGGCAGATACCAATGAACAGGAGACAATTCACCATGAATTCAAATCGCCGATCTGCCTTGATTATCATTAAAGCCTCTAAAATCTTGACAACAGGTCACTAACACTAAAATACTTCATGTACAACATGGATATGATATACCACTCTCCAAAAACTGATAAAAGAAATTACATTTTTCATTAGTTGCTTTCTATCTAATGGAAAGATTACAAAGAAATGTGATCACAACTGAACTAAACTATAGCTGTTCATAATTTCTTGTGTTACGAAATCTTTTGATCTCCACATGTTCATGCAAACCCCACGGCAGGATAAGCCACATCCCCTGCAAAGAAAAACACCGGAATTTCCAGAGTGACAGGGAAATGGGGCAGCGTTAGTACAACTGTACATTCATCAGCATTCCAGTCACATAGCAGCCCTCTACTTCGCAGGCATTTTTATACCGAAAGTTTATGCACAGTCCCTTCTGACCGGAAACACAAAACCACACAGTCCACAAACACAATAGGGGCGAGGATCGCTGGTAAAACAGTAACAGAAGCAGGCACGTGGGTGATCTCATGCAGGCCGAGTCCCCCTCTGGGCACCCACACACTTTACTGTTCAGTGGTATGTATGACCATACATTATGACATCATCTGTCTGGCTGGAAGACTGGGGTGTCTGTCCAACTCCACTGAGTAACTAGGCCTGTCTTGGGCGCTTCCTGGTCTCCAAGTATGTCTATGATCTCTTTGAATTTCCAAGAGTCATACAGCAATATTGCCATATGCAGGCAGACACATAATGTGCATTCGTACCAGTTTTTACCACAGAGAAACAACATGCAGACAATATGACTCATGGTGCATGAGGCAGAGCTAATTAGAGCCATTTCAGGTCACAGTGATTACATCAAGAAAACATAACATCACCATGCAAGCCAGTTTCTGTGTAGTGATGTTTAACTTTACACAGTTAACATCTCTGCCGTTAAAGACCGAGATTACCTACCCTCCGTGCAATTATTCATTACGTACAAAAGGATATCCCTCCCTTATTTGCACTTGAATCTCGTGTAAATTGACCATGACAAGCCACTCAATGCTTACACCTGTCAGTCATTAGGGCACTAGAACAGTTTCAACGGTTCAGATGAACAGGCTAAAGCTATGGAGTGGTCAATGCTACGTGTGATGATCTGTTTTAACCAGGCCCATTGGCAATGAACTTGTAATACAGCTGGGAATGTTGGATAGTGACAACCCATAATTGATCATTTACGCATTTGTCCCTAATAAGGTTCCTGTAGCTAGGCTGTGGCAGAGAAGGGAGTCAGACTTCTAAGGTCACATATCATGATGTATACACAGAACACATGTGTACCGGTTAGGAAAAGGGCTGATTTTATACACAAATGGATAGAATGTATTCAGTATTCACATTTACAATTTATGAGACATTTGCTTTGGGGAGGGGGGCATGAAATCAGAGTTATCATTATGCATGAAACACCTATCTATTTGGTAACAAAACTTACTGGTATTTCTTGACTATATTCCAAAGTTCTGCAGCCAAAATAAATCATCCATTTTTGAAGATAACATAAGAATTTTGAGCAGAGGATTTCAATCTGTGCCCACAGATACCCAGAGGACATAACAAACACTAAAGAACCTGAGTGATTGAGAACATCTGGGACCTACCAGTAGATACAGCCTGATGTTAACACTGGTGGACAGGACACAACGTTTGAAAATAACATACATGCTGTACACATCCTTATTGTCTGAAGCTCACAAAACTGTGTATTGGCAAAAGTGAAACCTGACAGTATCATTGACGTCAACACCTATATAGTCAAGATAAGGCCACAATACCCTGACAACTTTTCAATGAATGCCATGACCCTTATAGGCCCTGCAGCACTGCACAGATGGAGAAAAGATGTTTTGGATTGGTTTGTAGAAAATGCTTTACATCTGCTCTTGTCCTAAGCCCCTGTGATCAGCTGGGGTCTCTTGCCCTTGCCTCCCAATGGGCCAAAATGAAATCCCATCTGTGCACAGCCAGTACCAGGGGGCTGGGCACATCATCACTTCTCCATATTGATCAGCTATGGAAGCTGCTGTTATGATGACATATGTCTAAATGACATGCACCTGCCTTTTTTTTACAACTATGTGACATATCTTACTAGTCACTCCCATTCTGTTGTCCTGTCTACATTAACTATGCTTTTGCTAACGACAACACAGTCACTAGTACAACCTTCCCCAAAAGGACTGTGAAAATCACTGGTTTCTACAACAGAAAGTCCCTGGGCTGGGTGAGTGTGTTATGACTACATACATGACCTACAAAGACTATTATAACAGTTGATGTTATAGAAATACTAGTTCTTCATTAACAACAAAGAGGTGAGCCAGAGGATTGTCATTTTGTTCCTTTAGCTAGCTGTTGTAATGACAAGGCAAGCAGGAAGTACTGGGATCATATGACAGCCATGCAGAGGCAACTTCTATCTCTGGGGACATCATAGGTCTCATTTATGTCCTGACATTTTAAAGACATACCCATATTTTAGGGGCATTTTATCAACTTATCAGCACTAGTCATTTCCTGACAAGTTCCACGAGTAACGTTAAAACTAAAAGGCAAACTCACGTCCATCCATCCTGTGGAAGTCAGTAGTTAAAACAACAAAAGAGATAGTACCAGATGTGGCCCTGACATAGCGATGTACACAGGATGGCTTTGGGCTTTTTTTTCTGTGGCTGCTGACCTTGCTTGATATGTGTGTGTGTGTGTGTGTGTGTGTGTGTGTGTGTGTGTGTGTGTGTGTGTGTGTGTGTGTGTGTGTGTGTGTGTGTGTGTGTGTGTGTGTGTGTGTGTAGTAGTAT